ATTATTATTATTATTATTATTATTATTATTATTATTATTATGGTTGCAGTTAAAATGTGATACAGTGGTATTTTGATGTTTTTAGTCTGCTTTCCTTGTTTCATAACAATTGAAATAGGGGTATGTGATCACCTTGCTTTTTGTGTGTCTGTGTCCCCCCCCCCAACAACTTTGGAATGCCTGTTTGAGACAGGGAGGCTTGGAGAGGCCATTTTCAAGGGCCATAGTAGATATCACAGGCACTCAGAGAAGAATAAATTGTGGTACACTTGTATGCTACTCAGGATGTGCAGCCTTAAGGAAGATGCAGTGTGACACAAAACCTGAAAGCTGCACACTTTCAAGTCTGTATAAATGTGTATAGTCCTTTCTGGCCACATAATGGCATAACCACTGGAAATGTACTTATTTGACTTTTCTCACCCATCAATGATAACTTTAATTTTTCATGGAACTATTATTAATTTATTGCTATTATATAGACTGCCTTAGTTTACATTCTTTTTGTGCCTTTCTGCACACCCATGCTAACTTTGTAATTTACCTATGAGCTGTAAGTTTGCATGTATATAAACAAGAATTGAGTTGAATTGTTGTTGTTATATTACTTTATTTGTTTGTTTTCTTGCTTGCTTCTTGGCATTAATGTGTTTTTCCTCCAGTGCTTACCTTTAATTAGGCTTTGATTTTATGTTGTGTTTGTCCATTATGTAATTATTTGTATCTACACTGTGCTGTGTCTGTAATTGGCCTTGTAGCTGTTGACTCGGCACATAAATAATAAAGAATTGAATTGAATTGATTTGTTGTTGTTAATGTTGTTGTTTCATGTTTGTCACCAAATTGTAATAGTTGAGTTACAAAACATGCTATGTACATAATGTATAGGCATTTTTATGATCTGTCTCCAAACCACATTTCACATTCCTAGCTGCAATGGTTCTTTAGTTAGTGCCATAAAGCCAAGAGAAAGAGAGTATACACATGGCACCTTATTATTTCTCATTCCATAAAAATTTGCCTTAGCCAAAGTTGTGCATTTTTCCATATGTAATATCAGAATCCTAAATTAAGTGGCACTATTGCCACTCCCATCTCACAAGTTCACTTGTCAGTCATGTTATTTTTGCTGATTCTAGAAAATTAGGAAGTATTTCAGAGAGGAGGTTGAGGCTGTCGGTAGCTCAAGCTGTATAGCATCAAATGACTTGATGATAGTAAATAATGAATTGGGAAGTAAATGGAAGGATGCAGTCTTAGCCTGATTTAAGGTATATCCTTGCATTTTCTCAGAGGGACTGTGGAAAACCACAAAACCACTCCATCAAGATAGTTTGTCTCCCGTCTGAGATTTGAATCAGGCATCGGTTATATCCCAGATACAAATTAGAAGTGTTACTGCTTGACTTAACTTTCACAGTACAGCACTCCAACTACACACACATAATGTGCGAGGTTTATTCACATATTTCAGCTGGAAGCGCACATCACTTAAGTGCTTAAATTAAATTTTTTGCATATTGTGCTAAGTATCTGCCACAGAGAAAACAATCTTGAAGAAAAATTGTATTTATCCATAAAATCATATGATATGTATTATTCACTATTTTCATAGAGATTATTTAGCTAAAGAAAATCGTTAAAATTGGAAGAGTACCTGTTAAGTGTGCAGTATCAGAAGTGCTGTCGAAGCTCCTTTGGTATCCTTACTACCTCCCTGATGCCTGCTTAACCTAAACACAATGTACATAGTGTGTTCAAAAAGAATCGAACCTTTGGTCGGCAGAAATACATTTATTGATTTGGAGGTACAAAACCCTAATCCCCTTCAAAGTAGTCTCCTTGGTAATGCACACAGTTCTCCCAGCGCTTCCGCCATTGTTGGAAACACTTCTGGAACGCGTCTTTTGGAATGGTGATCAGCCGGGCCGTCGCATTCCGCATGATGTCTTCTCTTGACTCAAATCGGGTTCCTTTCAGCGTCATTTTGAGCTTGGGAAATAGCCAAAAGTCACACGGAGCCATGTCGGGGGAGTAGGGAGCGTGACGAACCACAGGGATGTTGTGTTTGGCGACGAAAGTATGAATCAGATGCACAGTTTCAATACAAATTTTGCAGACACTCTCCTCATGCCCAAATCCTCGGTCAAAATTGAATGTACCGATCCAATCCTTACCCCTATCTCGTTCGCAAGTTCTTGGACTGTGATACAACGGTCCTCCATGATCAAAGTCCGCACTTGCTCAATGATATTCTCATTTCGGTTTGTTGAGGGTCTGCCTGAACGCGGTTCGCTGTCCTCTGATGTGCGGCCATCTTTGAAGCGGTTGTACCACTCCTTTATCCATGAGTTGCTCATGGCATCATCCCCAAAAGCCTGTTGAATCTTGCGAATGGTTTCCACTTGGGTATCGCCAAGCTATTGGCAAAATTTGATGCTATATCGCTGCTCATGTTGTTCCGTCATTTTACACCTTACTGGAATCCGACAAGCTCTCACTACACATCCTCACTCATAGGCCGACTGCCAGCGACTGACGCTTTCTGCGGGCGGGAAAAAATTCACGACTGGGCATCAATGTCCCCTCCACATCTACACCGAAGGGAGCCTCCCTCGCTTCATTGGTTTACGCGGGAAAAAAGAAGGCTCGATACTTTTTGAACACACCACGTATGTGCCTGGACAGCAAGAAAGGTGTTACATGTACATGAAGTGCACCTTTTTAATGTCAGTATCAGGGCGCATCTGCCAATTCTCATTTATTTAGAATAATAGTATTACAGGCACAAAAATAAGTATGAAGTATTGAATTAGGGCTGTCCAACTTAGTTGTGAGAGGTCAGGTATAAAGATCTAAATTTTTCTGCTTTTGCATGTGTATGCATATACTACCATAGTCAATAAGTTCGTGGACTGGCCACAAAGTGTCGTTACAGTGCACTACTGCAGGTAGGTTGAGGCATGATATGATACCCTGTCAGTTCATCTCTCATCACAGCAAGGGGCAGTTGTGTGCAAACAGTGTAAGCAGGACTACAGCCTCTATTGTGAACAGCAGTTAATTGCAAGTGGCAGTTTGAACAACAGGCAAACATTAAGTTCTACTAAAAACTAGGCAAATCCCCTAGCGAAACGTTTGGCGTAGGAAGAATTGGCTGTTGCTACATGACAACGTCCCAGCACATCGCTCTGCTCTTGTCCAAGAGGAACTGGCAAGGCAACAGGTCATCGTTTTTCCACACCCTCCATACTCCATACTCACTAAAATGTAAATGTAAATCTCGCACCATGCTATTTGTTTCTCATTCACTGCTTGAAAGCAAAGCTACGTGGTTGTAGATTTCAGTCATCCAAGGAAGTTGTCAATGCCACAAGCGACGCCATACAGGAATTTCCTGCCAATATGTTTCAGCAGTGTTTTTGGCAGCTATATCAACGTTGGCAGACTTGCATAGTGGCCAGTGGCAACTATTTTGAGGGCAAATGTGGATCTGTGTAAATGTATGTAAATACCTTGTAATTTATTCATTCATCAGTAATCTGTCAAGACGACAGGTCCACAGTCTCTTCCAAAACAGTTCCTTCACTTGATGCGATCTAGAGCTTTCTCCTTCAAATGAGAATATCCTCTTCTGTCCCCCAGGTCATCCAGCATCATCTTACGTCTTCTTCCTCGTCTTCTGGTCACTTCTATCCGCCCCTCTATCTTTCCTTCAATAACTTCTTTTAGAAGGCAGTTACCGCGTAAGATATGACCAAACCAATTAGCCTTCCGTTTTCTTATTTCGCGTAGGATATTCCTCTGCTCACTGACTCTAAATAACACTTCTTCATTTCTCACATAATCGGTCCAGCTGATCTTCTCCATCCTTCTCCAACACCACATTTCGAAACTTTCCAGGTGTTTCTGATCTACTGCCCTAAGTGTCCAAGTTTCACCCCCATACAAAGCGATGCTCCAAACGTAGCATTTCACTAGTTTCTTTCTCAAATTTAAGTCCAATTTGCTGGTAAAAAGATTATTATTATTACTGCTAAATGCAGCTTTTGCCATGGCAATCCTAGATTGAATTTCAAAAGTGCACCATCCATCATCTGTTAACAAGCTACCCAAATATTTAAAACATTTAACATTCTCCAGTTGCTTTTTGTCTACCTACCTTGTAATATGATGCGATAAAACCACAGTCCACGAACTTAATGACTGTACAACGTATATGCTTGTGTATGTGTTTTTGTGCGTATATTTGTGTGTGTGTATGCATATTAGGACACCTGCAGTTGTCTTGCAATATTTATAACTTTTCTTCTGTAACCTTCATTAAGGGCTTCCTCTAATCCAGCAAAGGGCAAATGGAACATTTTTTTTCGAGTTAATACTTTAAGGATAATATATTGTCAGTACAAAATACATTAACTTTATATTTGTTGTTGATAAAATGTGTTATTAAATTTTATTTTTTTTAGGAAAAGATCAGAGTGGAAAAAAGGCAAGAATAGTAGAACAACAAAGAACAAGGAGAAACGGAGGGCAAAAGTTGAATCATGTGGAGATGTAGCAACCTTATCTGGACCTCCAGAAGTGGAGCTTCCTAGTAATGCATCAGGCTTTGCAGTATTTGCAAGTGTTCGTCTGGCTGTGCTGGAACGTTGGATGAAACAGGCTTGTCAGATTTATTTGTCATCATCTTCCAGTTCTCCACCGTTAGATGGCAGTAGTGAAATTGACAGTGATAGTGAAGAAAATACTGATAAGACTAGAGAAATTCCACCACTTCGAGTACCAAAGGTATAACTGTAGGAACATATTTGCAGCAACAGATATTATATGGCTTTCTCTCTAGCATTTGCTGTTTATAAGATGATTTTGACCTGAGGAGATTTATGTGTAGAATTTGAATTCAGAAGAATTACATGTTATGCAGAAGCTGCATTAGCAGTTTTGTTTCTTTGAGTGTTACATTGTTAGAATTTCTGAAGTTATATTGGAGAAGGTGCATTTCAGATTCCATTTGTGACCCTAAATGACATCAGATTATTGTTGCCTTCCACACTTCATTATTAGCCATTTCTTGCAAGGAAAACAGCGTTAGAACAACCATAGATGAAGGCAAAGTTATCTCTGGGCTTAATTAATAAAGCACCATGTCATGAAGATGTATGGGAGGGATGAGCTCGGCCATTCTTAACCTCACCATTAGATAAGAGTTGATGGGTCAGCGTCATGTCCTTGCACTTTACTTTCAGAGAAACAGCTCCTGGTACCCATTGTGTGGGAGGCTCAGTGGCTTCTAGAGGCAGTCTGGACATTATTCTTGCCCCTGCCAGGAATTGAAACCCACTACCTGGGTCGTCAAGCATGTAGCCTAGTCACTATACCAGCTGGCTCCCTTTTGGACAAGCATATCTGTATTAATATCTGTTTGATGTTATGTAACGTGAAGCAGTTTTCTTGAAACACAGTATGAAAACAATACTATTAGAGGCGATTTAAAAACCACATTTTTAAATTCCTGATGTTAACGGTACTTTACAACTGAATTTTAGTATTTTTTATGGTGATAAAGTTAAAAAGTATATAAGAACAAACAAACTTTGTGGCCTTTAGTACGCAAGCAAACTACCCACTGAGTGACCACCGCTTGTCGGCGAAATTAGTGCCAAATTTAGTGGATAGAGGGTGTCACATGGTCAGCGCAACGGATTCCCACAGCCTTTAATCTCGGTTTTCTAGACTGGAGTCACTACTTTTTCATTCAAGTAGCTCCTCAGTTATCCTAAACAAGGCTGAGTGGACCCCATTCCAGACCCACTACTCAGAAAATCTGGTAGTGCTGGGAATCAGACCAGGAACTCTGATCACTAGAGCATTGTATGCTCCATTTATGTGGTTATACTGACTGGAAATAAATCTTGCAATGCCGTGTCCATGAACTACGATGTCTGCTTTTCAGTTCTCTCAATTTAATAGCTATTCATATTGCATTTTATTAAAAGAGGATGGCATAACAAGAATTTATGATTAAGAATTTTTAATAATTTTACCGTACCAGTATTTATTAACATCTTCCTTGCTTTTAATTTTTCTGTGAATCATGCAGTTGCAATTTGCTAACCATGTCATTTATTAAGAATGCAGTATTCTGGGATTTGGCACTGTGTAGATGTGGTGTTAACCGACGTTTTGGAAGAACGTATCGCCTCCATCTTGAGGGTAGAAGGAAAAATAAGAAATCCACAAGCGAAGAGACCATGTGAACCGGTACAAGCAGACTGGTTAACACCACATCTACACGGTGCCACATCCCAGAAGACTGCTTTCTTCATAGTCACCACCGTGAAAACCTCAAATCTTACATGTCATTTCTTAGTTTATAATATGAGGGACAGTCAAATGAAAACGGGTTAGAAGCCAAAACATATTAAAGAACATTTCTTACCTCAAAAGTAATCTCCAAAACTGTTAATACATTTGTCCCACTGGGAGATAAGACGGTCAATCCCATCCTTGAAAAACCTTGTGGGCTGTCTACGGAACCACATCTTTACCCAGCCACACACGTCTTCATCCGATGCAAACTGATGTCCACGAATGTCTCTCTTCAGGTCTCCAAAATTGTGAAAATCACATGGGGAGAGATGTGGGCTGTAGGGGGAATGTTGAAGCACTTCCCAACCAAATCTCTATAGCATATTCTTCACAGAGTTGGCAGTTTGGGGTGCGCATTATCATGAAGAAGGATAATGCCGTTCGATAGAATTCAATGCTCTTTTGTCTTTATGGCACGTCTCAGTTTCTGCAAAGTGTCTTTATAGCGCTGTGCACTGATTGTGGCACCATGCTCAAGAAATTTGACAAGCAGAGGGCCCTTGCAGTCGTAGAAGAACGTCATCATCACTTTACCGGACTTTGTGTGTACGACTTTGGATTCCTTTGGTGGGGGAGAATTGACGTGTTTCCACTGTTGGCTCTGCCGTTTGCTCTTGGGTTCAAAATGGTGGCACCATGGCACCAAGTTTCATCCCAGTGGCAATACGGGACAGAAAACATACTCTTCCTCGCGGTATCGTTGCAAGTGACCTAGTGATGCAGCCATTCTCTGAGTCTTCTGTTCCTCCATGAGTTGCTATGGAACCCACTGCACGCATATTTTGCGGTACATCAGGTGTTTTGTCACAATGGCGTGTACTGCACTGTGACCTGTTCCCATCAAAAGACTAATTTCTTCCACAGTGATCTGTCGGTTTGCCCGGATATGACCGTCCAACGCAGCAATAACATCAGGAGTGATGATATGATGAGCCTGTCGTGGGCGAGCATCATCTTGCAGCGATGCACGTCCCTCTCAGAATCTCTTATGCCATGCCAGCACACGCGAACGTGACATGCTTTGTTCGCTGTAAAAAACATACATGCGACGATGAATTTCTCGTCCTCCTACTCTTTCAACAGTCAAAAAGCGCACTACACTTCACTGTTCTTCTTTACTCACCTCCATTACTGATGTTGGATGACCACACGTAGTGCTAACCTTACTTCCAGCACAATAAACAAACGACTAGTGTGCAAGGGCACGTCACTGTGCTTTCCCAAGTACCCACCAGAAGTTTGTACCGTAAGCAAATTCTAGTGTTACCAACTTGCGCACCGTGTGAGTTATGCATGGTGACCCGTTTTCATTTGACTGCCCCTTATAGTATTGCTGCTTATTTTGATAAATTTTGGGCAGTATAAAAATGCTAATAATAATTTGGGAGAGGGGAATAAAGAGTGATGCGAGAATTTTGCATAAGAAAACTTGAGTTGAACATCCTTCATAAGATTAAAATTCCTGTAAGTAATGCAGCAATTGATAAAGCATGTTTTAAAGATGTTGGGTATTCAGGTACATGGGTGAGGTATGTTGCATGCGTGAGATATATGAGAAATGCATGTGAAGTTCTGGTAGGAAAATTAAAGGAGAGAGACCACTTGGTAAAACATAGATAGAGATGGGAGGATAATATTAAAATGGAACTTTAGAAATAGTATAGGGACTAGATACATCTGGTTCAGGATAGATACTAGTGGCAGGCTCTTGTGATCATGATAATGAACCTTTGGGTTCCATAAAATGCAGAGGGGATGTTCAGGTATCTGGGGCTTTTGTCATAACAGTGAGATTATTGGAGTCTTTAAGAACACATGTACTGCTACTGTTTGCTTCAAAAATTCACACCGCTTTGTGCACTTTATGTTAGCAAAATTATGTGAGACCAGTGTTTTCTGGAATCTTTGCTTCCTTCCATAATTGACTTTATCATGAATATGTAAATAAATTGTCACTGTAGTTGATAGAATTTTAATATATTTTTTTATTTATTGGTATGGCCTTTCTACATTCTTTCTTTGTTGGCAAAGTATCATGAACTTTTCTAATCCATTCATTCTGTTTGTATGTATGTGTGGAATGTCACATAAAACAGATTTAATTAGTTTAATGCTCTTAGTGATTACAGTTAAAGAAAGAAACAAGTGTATACTTTCCTTTAGGTCACAGCAATATAAAATAGATGCTGAGCATTGTTTTAAAACATGTATTTGTTTTCTGGTGTAATATGTATGCAATCTGTCAGTTTTTCTAAGGAGGCTACTCGGAATAAAAGACCACGCAGCATGCTTAAACGAAGAAGTGCACAAAAATATTCAGTCATATCTTCTATTCCACTATACCAACACTACTACACATTCATTGTTGCCATAACATTATCTGTATGATTTATTTGAAATTGCCATAACTTGGGCATCTGCATGTTCAGTTCCCCAGTCTCTCTTAATTGAAGTTTCTTGCTTCTTGGAGGGTTCATCGAGTGATGGCTCACTTAGCTATACTTCAGCTGTAATTCCAGTATCATCTTACCACTTTTTTCATGACATTAGTTCAGTAAGAGTAAAAATATTCTAATGAATAGAATCTGTAACGTGTAACCTATTATCATCTGTAAGCGAATTGGGTGCAGTATGCTTTCTTTCTCCTTTGCTTTGTGATGTTTTTTTTTTGTCTAATGCTTCTAGATCGTAGGAGTTGGTTTGCGGAGTGTCTTTGAGCTTATTCGTGAAAGCCGGTCTTCTCATCCACTTTTATGTACAAAGGCCCTTGCAGCGCTACTTGATGTAGTACAAGGCCAACAGCCAGAAGGTCTTAAAAGTGAACCAACTGAAGTAATAGGTGAGTTGTATTAACTTTTCAAGTATAATGTATTGTTCATGAAATTAAATCTAATAGCATCCATGAAAATGCAGCATGAATATAGTGAGTTATATATTATTTTACGGCCTGTATATTATAATTCATACCTTCGCTTTTTGTGTCACATTTCATCATGGTAATACTGAAATTTTTTATTTGTATGGGTGTTATGTAATTTTTGTATCTCTATATTTGAACCTGTTTGGGAATAGGCTGGTGGAAAATAATAAAATTCCATGATTGTAAAGTTATATAGCAAAACATGCTTATTTTTATATGAAGATATCTATATAAGGAATTTGTGAACAGTTGATTATTGATATCATGGCATAATGTTTTAAGGTTGAAATTTAAGTCAAAGTGATTATCTAGAGCTCGTTACTTCAGTATGTTAAGCTGTTGTCCAGAGCAGAAGTCTAGTTGCATTTAGACTTTTTTTTTTTTAGTTAGGACATTGGTAAAACCTGAGTGCCTTCAACTATGTCATTTCAAAAATGATGAGCACTGAAAGTAGAAAGAGTGGTCCTGGAGACTTGATACTGTTAGTATAGAAGAAATTAATAGTGAAACTAAATTGTACAGGTATGAGAATAGATGACCATGACTTGTCACAGCTCTTACACTTTGCACTCATGTGAATATGTCCTGAAGATTGTGCAGTGCAATGCTATTCAGGTTCAGTCTCTCTATACCAAGTGTGTTCTGTTTCTACCACAGTCCTTTGTGATATTAGGCATACATGGATATTACAAAACAGTGTGTTTCGATCATCTATACATAATATCTTGAAAGCAATAGAGAGTCATGCCATTTGGTTGTAACCTTTAAACATGTAGAATGGCTTAGCAAGCTGACATTTCTTTCAACACTCTTATGACAGTTGTCATGCTGTGACTGAGGCAATATAACTTGACAAATTTCATTTCTGTATACCATGATAACTTAGAGGATGACATTTGAATGTGAGAGGTTATTAAATGAGCTTTGTATCCCTTATGTGCATATTTGTTTGCACATCCAAGAAAACATCTAGGTTCCTAGTGTATCCACTCAGATAATGAAGACCTATCAGTAAATCTCTTTAACTGCTGAAATATGAAAGATTTTAACAGGGACAAATATCTTGACAAACACAAAATATTGTCAAAGGGCAGGCAGGCTGCAATAAAGTATGTACTGCTAGTTTAAACTTATCTAGTTTCCACACACAATATAACTCTTGAGTTAAGCTTTCTCCATTTAGGATTTACGTCCTTTAGTATTACATCTTTATAGTCATAATTTTAAATTTCCATTTAATATTAGGTCTGGTGTAGATGAGCATTTCTCCATGCTGTGCTAATGGTGATATATTTCCAGATCCTTTATTTGATCTCTTACTTGATCTGGCCACATCACATGGGCCTGAGTCTGCTGCAGCAAACGATGGAAGCCACCTCACAGCTGTGGCCTGTGCATGTCTGCTCAGCCTCGTTGTCGTCAGGGGAGACACTGGAAAGCTGCTTAGTGCTACAGCAGCCCTTCTGATGTGCCCCAGAGCACTTGCTTCACAGAACATACATGTAAGTTTTATAAAGGATATTTAGACTTGTTTCTCAACACAGATTAATGTTTTGTGTCTTTGGATAAGAGAGTACACAATTACAAAGATCCAAAAAATGAAGAATAATTGGAAGAACAGGGCACAACAACTTCAGGACTGTACTTGGTGGTGGTGGTGGTTGTGGTTTGTGTATGGGGGGGGGGGTATTGGGCAGTGTATATAGTTTTGAATTGTGAGTTACATAAATACTCTACATACACTGTAGATCTATTGTTGAAATTTGAATATGTGTATGAAAACAGGGTTGTTGACTTTCGGTAGCAATTGCTGTGCAAATAGGAACATTGTACAACATTTTTTTAGATAACTATATTTGTCCATTTATTTAGTAGAGTAAAACAGATTTTTAATATTAACAATGGAGTTTAATTTAATTTTTTAAATACGTATAACCCACAGATAAGATTTTTCTTGATTTAAGGTACAGAAATCTTGTTTCCAAGGCAAACCTGATGGGGGGATTTCATAATTTTTTACCATAAAAGACATTCTGCTCTGTATAAACAATTTTTTGCAGTTGTTTCTGCCACAGAAGTACAGCACAATGTGAAAAATATTGGAAGAAATAAGAAATGCTAATAATTATTTCTTTAACTTTTAAAGTAGAGAAATTATTACTCCCTAAAAATTTTCTGTTTCAAGTGTCTTGTGCCTGGAATGCTTAATGAAAGACAAGTTAAATATATTGCATCCATCTTTTATTGGTTAGCTTGGTTGATATTATACTTAGAATTTGCTTTACATGACAAAAGTTTCAGCTACAAGAATTCGACACAAGCTGAACAAAATAAATAAATAAACAAACAAATAAATAAATAAATGTATATGTATGCAATAAATGAACATGAATGTCAGAGAGAAATACTGTTTGCAAAGAATGCATTTGGAACATACTCCACTGGAGCACAACTTCACGCCCTCTTTCTACATCTGTCATATCCAATCTGTTATATTACTAGCATGTCACTGTATCTGTGTGTTTTCTCTCACTCTCTTTGTTTGTACTTGCTGTGTTAAGTGCCCCACTATATCCCAGATACTGTATACATACAGTTCACAAATTCATTCAAAAGTTGTTATGATGATTTCAGATGCCTGCAGTACTTACAGCTCTACAAAGAAGTGTTCATGGTGTGCTCCTTGGGAAGGTAGTCAGACCCGATTGGTTTACTCATGGCATGCCAAAGAATTCCAGAATTGACACCTTCCATGTGAAGATGAGTGGAGGTACATATTATAAAACATACCTTACTGTAATTCAGGGTATAATTTATATGCTTTATGGGAGTTCATGCTGTGTAGGTTCTTTAAAAATTTACTTATCTTTCAGTTAAGTTGGATGTTAGTAAGAATGTTAGTAAGGTTCTAAAATTTTGTTGTCATGAAATTGGGTGAAACGTCATAACAAATCTTAGAAATTGGACTGACCTATGCTACTTTTCCACTTTTCATATCATTTATTTGGTTTCAAAAATATGTGTTCAATTTCAGTTCATTACCTTCATGCAGAAGAATAATGCTTGTTTGCTGTATTATCATATGTCTTTGAACTTTCATATACATTCTAATTTTTCTTTTTCTGCATCTTACATTTTTCATATTGAGAATTTCCATGTGTGTTAACACTATTATCTTCATATTACTAATGAATCTCCATATAGACTGAGGCAGTGATTTTATTGCAGCAGGAAAATTTTGTACAAGTAACATCCTAATATTATGATACTGGACCTGATTGTACTGTACATAGTGAAATTTATTCAACCCTATGTGTGTTTTACCCTGTTTTCCTTACCTTGTACAGGCATGGTTATGTTAGATCATTTCTTTGGAAATCACCCCACCTTTTTATTTTTTAGTTCCATATTTGTATTAACTTGTGTTCAGGAGGTGCTCAGTTTAAAAATTCTCTCAGAACACCATCTACCCTGAATGGGGTTTCTGTGATTTTCATCAGCCTGTCCAGGCAAACACTAGGATAATACTTTTGGAAGGCCACAGTTGCTTCTACTTCCCCTCAGTCTGCAGCAGTTGATATAGTATCATTAAGTAATCTGTGATCCATCCTATTGTACCATAAGCAATGCCAACATATCAGCTGTATAACTTTCTGAAGTGGAGGGTCACCAGCATCACTCAGCTTTTTTCCTGTGTATGTAAAACACTAGTGTTTGGTGCTCTCAGCCCAGTTTTTCATAGCAGCATGCCAGTGAGATCTATATGGTGACATCAGTGAAATATATACAGTTTTTTTTATTTTTATAGATAATGCAAAATCCCATAGCAATCACTGAAATATATTTAATGTTCCAACACGTGTAAGTAGGAAAATTAAATTTTTGTATGTGGACAGCTCATAACCATGCTTGCAAATGTTTTGTGAAAGAAATTTTGTGTATGAAATTTAAAAAACGTAACAGCAGTGAGAAACTGTGGGCGTTTGGTAGTGGAAATCTGTACTAGTGGGCATTCTGCACAGAAAGAAATCTAAGCTAGTAAACTATACAATTATTACCATGAATTTAGTACTTTATTACTTACTTTTAGCCTTAAGCGGCCTTCGTAGTCTAGGGGTAACGTTCCCACCTCATGACTCCAGGTACGCGGGTTCAAACCCGGCGGAGGTCGTGGAATTTTTAAAGGCGGAAAAATTCAGGGAACAAGTCCTCTGGGAGGGACTTTAAGCCGTGGGTCCCTTATCATAGATTTACGGCAAGTTTCCCGCCCAAGTAGTTTCCAATGCCTCTGGTAGATGGGGGAAGTATCAGGTACCAAGGGCCGACCTTGTTGGCTGAACAGGGCTGATAGTACGAACCAGTACCAGTAGGGTATGGCGACTGGTAGAATATCAAAGGGGGATGTACAATAGACTATTAGTCGCGGTGCATGGGGAAACCCACCCCCTCTAATAATAATAATAATAATAATAAATACTTTTAGCCTTTTGTTTATGTTGGCCACTGGCTGGTCTCCACTCTCAGAAATGTAATTTTCACTATTTTTTTATGACACACACGTCAGTACTATTTTAAGTTTTTATTTTGGAAAGGGACAGGGGCCAAATCTAATGGAATATTTTGAAATCTCTTGCAGGGGACTTGCTTGTGTTCAAAAAAGTATGAGACTTGGAGATCTGTAACAATAACATTTTCCTGCTCTGAAAAAACAACAGTGTTTTCTACAACCAGACAATCAGTACAAATGTCTTTAGACGTAATGTTATTGTTTATGGATCTATTTGACCACCTTAGCAATAGATCTTCAAAGGTCCCATCATCTCATGCCTTGTGTTTATCCCTTGTGTCATATATAGGAAACTGTATACAGGAATTATCTTTGCAGTGTTCACCCAAAGAAGCATCTGGTACATCAAAACTCTGTTGTCTTGAATATTAGCAAGGAACTCTGTACAGCTGTTTTTTCTTCAGTGTTCTGTAGGTGCCACATGTGTATTCAAAATGATGTGCAACGCTTTGCCCAAGTTTTGTAATGAATGGTATTTATAATCTTATATTTGTGCTCTTTTCTTTAATTGTCTCTTTAGAATGAATAAATAATCTGATCTTGGTGAATTGACTTATCCACCACCCTTTATGACAGCTTCTCAGTTCCTAACTTTAAATCATTATTCAAGGATATACTGCTTTTAGCAGCCAAACAGCATATCTTCAAACTGGATTTTTGCCTTCACTTTGTCCAGCTTTCACATATAACACTTTCAGAACCTATTTGAATCTGGTTTCCAATAAACCAACTTGTACACATGTTACATATTGCCTCGTGGTATGTCAACAGTTGCATGTACAGCAATACCTCACATAGTCCAGGTAATCGGTTCTGCCAATATCCCGGACTATTTGAAACTGGACTAATAGAGGAACTAAATACAAAAAAGATAATTGGTTCCAAAAAAAATCTCTGTTTTTTCAATAAATAAAATGCAATTAATAAATTCAAATGTATTTATTAGAAATAATTTTAAAAAATTCATGCTTTTCACAATTCATTTTTTATTCTCTAAAATTGCAATATTGATGTCTGCACATTTTTCTTCTTTGGCCTTTTCTCTTCATACATTTCTTTGTAGCAATGAATTGTATTGTTTATCATTCTGCGAATTGTAAGGCTACAGTCAATATTGGGATCAACTTCCATAATATGCTCTGACAAGGTTTCAACCGTCACAATTTTTTATGGTTGTTCAGCTTATAATTCTCATGCAGGCACTTTAACACAGTCGTCGTCTAAGTTGTCCGCCCGTTCCTCATAAGCTCTTCCAAAATTCCGTTAAAGTAGTGCTCTCCCTACCTCCTCCAGTGATAGCTGTCGCAGCTCAAGAACGAACGGCCTGAGCATAGATACATACATATACAATGGGGAACCCCAGAAAAAAAATTAAATATGTATCATATCGCATAACTTTAAAACCACATAAAAATAAACCACACAAAAAGAGACTTGACTGTATAAAGGGAAGAAATCGATCATTCATGTATTAAAAATAATTTTGTGTACTAATTTTTTAGTATTTATTTTTATTTTGCTTAATTAAAATTTAGTTTGTTTTGAAATTTTCAAACTGGACTGTAGTGAATCCGGACTATGCGAGGTATTGCTGTATTATAGTAGAGTTTGTAACACTTCCTCTACTTAGAAGCAAGCACATTAAATCTTGCGGCACCAAAATTTTTTTAGTTATTGTTTGCAGAGTTTTTCTGTAAAACTAAAATGTGGTTCTTACCTTGTAGGTGACCGTCATATTTTGGATGTATAAAATATAATCATATTGTAGGTTTTATTTGTGTGATAATTAACAGCATTTCAAATAATTTGTCCATTTCCAATAATGATTTTGTTTCCAGATATGCATACTGCATCACTGAGTGCCAAATCTCTAGCAAGTGATGGGCAATTCTTGTACCTCTACACTTCCAGAGGACTTTTTAAAATTGGTTCAGGATATGGAGGCACAATTAAAGGACATGTTTATCTTCACAAAACAGATTTCCATGTTGATGACAAAGGATGGTTGGGATATGCTAATGTAAGCAATTCATTTTTTTTTTCAGTTTCTTTTTAATCTCTTCTGCTGTGTGCTTTAAGGAAAACTTAATTTTGGCGATGTTTTTGTTGACTTGGCAGAGATTAGGCAGAAACCAGTTGGAAGCTGCTTAACCTTTAACATACAGACTTTTAAATCGCCAGCAGCTCCCTACGGCCGGAATTGAAATGGCCCTAAATCTTTAACATTGCAGACTTTCAGAAAAAAATGCATATTTTCCGTTCTATGCAACACCGGAATATGAACTAAAAAGAACCTGAAAGACAATAAAATTTTCTACATATAGACAAAAGCGCAAGTTTTACAAATGAAATTACCTGTGATTATTTTGTCATGAAATGCAAAATATAATCGTTATTAAATACGTTATGAAATTCTAAAGGACTTACCTGTTATTTTTCTTCAACCTTGAATCGTGATGGTCATGTAAATATGATGACAATATATACAATAATATTTGGGCTGGACTGTACACCGTTTGGACTGCGTCACTTCACAGCTTACACTCTGACGCGCGTGTGCCATTTCTCGAAGCAGTCCACCACACACAGCGCGACATCACACTTTTTGCAGCAGAAAAGCGTGCTTCTGCTTTTCTTGTTTATAGAACAAACTCGACAACGTCTTTGTTTCCCCTTAGCTGGCCACTGTTTTGAATGTTTCACCTCCAGTCGACTCATTTGGGCTCCAGATGAACTTGGCCTCCCCCGAGAAACGCCACTGACCGTGATATTTGCCTCATGCGATTGAAGAATCAAATTACGCACCAAAATTTCGTGGAACTTTTTGTGCATCATTTTTCCATCACATGACTTGTGTAACAGATATGCATTGAGAACAGTCATGTCTAGGAGGTGGAAGAATAATTTCTTCGTCCATTTCCATGTCCTCCGAGCAATGCCATAGCTGTTCACCATTCTATCAGATTTGTCCACAAAGCCCATGTGTGCATTGTAGTCTTCAATTACATGAGGTTTGATAGCATGGCCAGATTCATCTCGGAAGTTGCCATCCAATGGAGGAGGGTGCATATTCGTCAGAACATACACATCGCGCTTGTCTTTCCAACGAACAACACTTAGATTCCCCTTCACTCTTGTCACAATGTCTCCTTTTTTCAATTTCAGTGATTTGGGCCGAATTTCTTGTGGCATTCCACGCCTGTCATTGCGAACGGTGCCACACGAATTTATTTTACGCTCTAGGAGATCGTCATACAATGCAGGGGAACTGAAATAGCTGTCCATATAAAGTTTGTGTCCTGAGCCTTCTACCCTTCGAATAAGCTGGAGAACAATGCCATGGGTTGGTGTAATTTCTTCGGTTGCAAGTTGCCTTTGTTTCCCCAAATAAACAGTCATGTCATAGGTATAGCCCAGAGAATCGCAAAGCTTGTAAATTTTTATTCCAAATCTTTTATGTTTCTTGGGAATATACTGCCGAAAAACCACTCTTCCTTTGAACAGCACTATCACTTCATCAACAGCAAGATGTTCCGATGGATGGTAAGGTTCACAAAATTTGTTGTTAAGATTGTTGAAAATTTTTCTAATCTTCCAGAGCCTATCGTACTCTGGGTCATCTCGATTTGGAGGAGCTTCATTATTCTCAAAATGAAGAAATCTCAAAATATGGAAGAAACGGTCGCGTACCATGGTGTTATGATAGAATGGAGTGTAGTACTGCTCATCTCTCGACCAATAATCTTTCAG